AACGAGCGCCCCCAGACCGAGTATCGCTAGTGGCAATTTCCCCAGCTTCAACACCACCTGAGTCCACAGTAGCCTATCATGGAAGTGCCAAAGGCTGCTGAGGGGACTGTGAGGAGGACTGCGGGGAGGGAGATGCTACCTGGCGCACGACCGAGGGTAGCGTGAGACACACCTGACGGGGCAGGACTAGGGGGGGGCGGGGATACCGGAGGAGCGGGAGCAGGGGGAGGAGAGGGTGCAAAGAAGAGGGGAGAAGGGGGAACCGGGAGACCTTGACAGGGGTACCTGGTGTAGTAGGACACGGACTCGTCAAACCGGACGTCACGAGAGTCGAGAAACTGGTGGAGGGGCGGGTGGTGAAAATAATAGTCAGGAGAGCCCAACGGGAAACCAAGGAAGATATAGGGGATGGCACGAGCCGAGAGCTTGTCCGCAGAGGTGTCGCGGACAAGCGCAAGGCAGCCCCAGACACGAATGGCCGACCCAACAGCAGTGGACCCGGTCCAAAGACGGGTCGGTGAAACCTTTGGTTGCGAGACACGTGGCTGGAGGTTTAGTTGGTGCGCGGAGTAACGAAGCGTGTAGGTTCAAAGCAAACGGGGCGCACGGGCATGGATCATGGACGTGTGGGCGATGTCCATGACCAAGCCAATGTGGCGCTCAGCAACCCCATTCTGCTTTGGGGACTCTGGCAGCGTCCAGGACTGTCTGATGCCCTGCTCACCGCAGAACCCGGCAAGGACGCGGAGCGAAACTCACCCCCATGTTCGGAGTGGAGACAACAGACACGACTACCACGAGTGCCCTAAGTGGTCAGAAGCCACCGGATTAGCGTAGAAGTCACCTCGGACTTCTTCGCAAGAGGATACACCAAGGTGTACGTGGAGTAGTCGTCAATGACCACTAGAAAGTAGCGCTCCCTCTCAGATTCCAACGTAGGGGCAGGGCCCCAGACGTCCAAGTGGAGACTCTGGAAGGGAGCAGTGGCTATATAAAGCAAGGAGGAGTGCAGAGTGGCGTGCAGGCGGTCGGCGACGCAAGGAGTGCAAGGTGGAGCAAGCAAGGGAGGGAGTGACAAAAAGACGCGCGGGAGACATGAGACAGGACTGTGACTGGCCATGCTGCAGAGGCGTGGGAGGAAACGGGTGACCAAGACGGTGGTGCCACAAGACTGTTGGGTGAGAGAGTGAATGGCAAGAGCAAGACGCAGCAACCAGACCGGATACAGCCACCTGATTGGACACTGCAACCTGACTGAACACAGCAACCTGAGGTGACGCAGGGACCTGGGAGCGCTCAGTGTGCAGAACGTAGAGACCGGAGCGAGGCTCCCTGGTGAACGTAGCAAGAACGACACCGGTGGCAGCGTCCGTATAGACCGCAGTCCTCCCGCCCCCGAGAAGGGTAATTGTGATCCCTCTATCCTGGAGGTATCCAACACCCACCAAGTTCCGAGTGAATGATGGGATGTGAAGACCTCGAAGGACACCAAAAGGGACCACAGCGCACGAGAGGTTGGTGGAGCTGCGCGCAACGGCTGGTCTTGAGGTAGGATCAGCCAGAGCTACCGGAACTGGAGTAAGGAGTGGTGTGAGAGTCGTGTGGTCGCGGAAGAAGCACTGGCACACGCCAAAGTCCATCGTGAAGAACAGGGACGCCTCAGCAGGAGGTGCACCGGGACTGGTAGCTACACAAGTACCTAGGGCAGCCACACAAGCACCTAGACTAGAGAGGCACAAGTTTACACTAGCAACAGGCAAGGATCCTAGTCTAGAAACATGCGAGAAAATAGATCCATCAGCACTATAGTCAACATCAGTACACAAAGCATACTGACGAGCCTCATCCATAGATAGTTCAAATACATGAATCTTACGCGCTAATGGAGCACGGTAGAGGTCGTCGAGGCGGCGGAAGCACCGTGCTGCAGAGTGGTCGTCGCACCCGCAGACATAGGGACTACCCGGTCCCGTGAGGATCCAGTAGTCGCAGGGGCCAGAGTCGCGCCCAGGGGGGCAGGGGCCCCAGCTGGCAGTGCTGTCACTGCGGCCAGTGCTCCCCGAACCTCCAGGACCCCACTGCTGCGGGGCCCCCACTATGAAACCTGCTGCGACACCTAGTGTTGCAGCTCTCCTTGCTGCTGCTGCTGCTATTGTCCCTGGCGTGGCTGCTGCTGCTGTGGCTACTGCTGTTGGGCTCCCGGACCAGTGCTTGCGACAACAACTCCACCCGCCGGGCTCGCCTATCCAGGACCGCCTCCAGAGCCTCCTCCTCCAGGTGCCCCAGTACCGCCTCCGCCGCCACCACTGCCACTCTCAGCTCCACCACCGCCACCCCCACCGCCACCACCCCCCTTCCCCCCCTTCTTGCCACCCTTGCCCCGTTTCTGCCAACCAGCGGCAGAGACAGCTGCAGTCTCCCCAAAGACAGACAGCGCAGCAGTGGCACGAGTAGCAGTGAAGGTGGGAAGCTAAGGGACAGCACACCCTTCAAAGAAGCGGGGAGCTACAATATCAGTGGCAGAGGCAACAGAGAGGAGGTTACTTTCGATCTTCAAGAGAGTGGTCTCAAGAAGATCGATCGTTAGCTCACTGGGGTGCTTCTGAAGAAGCACGTCACGGGCAGAGGAGAGGCGGTCAGGGAGGCGAGTGACTAACTAGTGCACGGTGAGCCACATAGGAGGGGGGACAAGGAGAAGCTGAGCCTCAGAGCAAGCTGCACGGTAGCTAGTGTCGAGGGAACGCAGGTGAGTGGCAAGGTTGGAGACAGTCGCAAACGACCCAACGTCGGGAAACACAAAAGGCATGAGGAGGCGGCTGAGGGAGGCAGAGGAAGGGGTGGAATAACGCGCAACGATAGCATCATAACACCCCTTCACAGTCTCGACCTGGGAGAAGTGAACGGCCTCAGTCGGTGGGAGAAGGTCCGTCAGCGCCAGAGCAGCTGCAGCCTCACGAGAGTCCCAGACGTCGCGCGCCAAGAACCGCCGGTCGTAGTCCGCCTGCGCCTTAGGAGTGGGAGCGGGCTCAACAGGCAGGGGGCTAGGGCGCGGGGGGGGCAGGAGGGCGCCGGACGTGCGTGCGTACAAGGTGGCACCGTCCTGACGCTGACTAGTAAGGTGGCGTTGAGCCTGGTGGAGCCACGTACTAAAGTCGATAGGACGGCCCTTCGCATTGAAACGTAGGCGGTAGGAGGACTTTGTAGTAACAGCTAGGAGTGGAGCTAGGAGCGGCCAGGAGAGAAGCGGCTGGAACTAGGAGTGGCCAGGCTAGGAGCGACTGGAGCTAGGAGTGGCCAGGCTATGAGCGGCCGGAGCTAGGAGTGCCGAGCTACAGACGAGCGGAGATGGGAGTGAGTGGAGCTAGGAGTGCCAGGTTTGGAAAACGTCGGTCAGAAATGTAGTCTAGGAGGAGACGAAAAACGTACTCGAGCAAACGGAGAGAAGAGCGGCTGCCAGCCACCGTGCGAGATGCCTATAGCAGAAAAACCGTGTGAGAGCACGAGCACATCAACGGTGGAGGGGGGGGAAGAGTTCGCTGCTGGGTGAGATGCGCGTGGTGTGGTAGGTTGTAGCGCGCCCTGTAAGGGCTAGGACACGCACTGCCGGAACGCTCGAGCGTGACTCGGCGGGGGTAGCTGCTGCTGCTGCGGCTGCAGGCGCTAGCAGTGCTGCTACTGCTGGTTGCTGCGGGCGCTAGTAGTGCTGTTGCTGCTGGTGGTTGCAAGCGCTCGCTGTTGCTGCTGCTGGCGGCTAAGCGCAAAGCAGGCGTGCGCTGCTGTGTGCAGCTGTTGCATGCGCTGGCCACGTGTGTGTTGCCTGCAAGCAGTCCTGCGCGTGCAGCAGTGCGTGCGCGCGGGCTGGAAGGACGTGGCAGAACGGGCCCGCGCGGGTCTTTCTGAGCGTGAAAAAGAAGGGGTCTTTGGAGGCCTGTTAAACGCCACTAAACGGGGCCCGCAGGGGCCTGTTAATCGCAGCTAAACGGGGCCCACGGGCGTGGCGTGCAGTGACGCACTACTGCAGCTACTGCGACGGCCTGCCTTAGCGCGACGGCCTGCGTAAGCACGACGGCCAGCCTAAGCGCGTGGGGAAAAATGAGGGCCAGCCGGGAGGGTGGGGGCACGCAGCTGAACGAGGCACGCGGGCGCCATCCTACGCGTGACGAAGCGGAGCCTAAGGGACGGGCGCCTCGGGAGCTTTTAAGGGAGGGAGAGGAAGCGTGGGAGGTAGGAATAGTTACCTACTCTAACACCATCTTAGAGTTAGCTAGGAAGTGTCGTGAGTGTGGTTGAGTAAGTGGGAACAATGAGAGTGTGTCGACCTAAAGAATGTTGTACCCTTTAGAGGGCAACTCACTATAGCCTAGAATAACTAACATTTAGAAGATATAAACATTCGACACAAGATCCACAAGCGTACAACAGCGGTAGACTGAGAAAAGAAAGGATGATGTCGCCTAACACTTGTATGGCTAGAGTTATTTAAAGTTCCAATCCAATCTGAACTATGGCAGATTGGTGTTGAATGCCTTGTCTAAAGTTGTTCTAAACAAACCCACGATGGGAGAGACAGCATCGAGCGCACTCACAGCATGGAGAGGCATTTGAGGTGGAGGGATTTGACCATAATCAGTGACAGCAGGGACCCATGTGCCATTCCAGCAGGGACCCTCGATGAGAGATCCTCTGGTGCGTTGTGCACACTTCTGAAACAAGTGTCACATTTGGCCCACTGGGATTTGCAATGTGCCAGGTTCTAGTGAACCTTACATTATCGACTAATACCTAGTTTTGCACATCGTGGCACATTCCTTACTTTGAAGACAGACACATGAAGGCAGACACATGAATGTGTTTCCTTACTTTTCTGCACCCGGGTAGAATATGGTTTTTGCCACTGAGAAGACGCACCCCCTTTTTTTCTGAAGGTATTTATAGTACAACCCTGTGGTGGTAGGTTTGTGTGTTTGCTGTATCTCTTGAGCTAATCCTCTACAGGCCGCCTACTTCTGTAAGGGGAAGTTGGTTCGGCGGGTGCTTTCACCTCTGATTTCCCTTGCTGCCTTATCATACTCCCGGGCTGCCTCTTCAGGCGTGCCGAACGTCCCAAGCCACCGCCGCACTCCATGGATGTTGTCCTTTATCTCTGCCACCCATCGATTGCCCAATCCCCTCTTTCGAACTCCAATGTACCTCACTTCACCAGACGAACTCTCTTCTGCCCGTTTCTTAATCTTCGATTTAGGTCCGGGTCCTTTCGGCTTTGCTGCAGCAGCTGCAGGAGAGGGGGTTGACGAGCTAGCCAGCCCTTCCCCGGAACTACCTGCCGAGTCTAAAAGTGCTGGTGCTGGTTCTGGTGATGCTGGTTCTGGTGATGCTGGTTCCGGTGTTGGTTCTGCTGGTGCTGGTGCTGGTGCTGATTCTGGTGGTGCAGGTGCTGATGCTGGTGCTGGTGCTGGTGCTGGTGCTGGTGCTGGTGGTGTTGGTGGTTCTGGAGCAGTACTCGTGACACTGGAAGGTCGTGCCTGACTGTTGCCCTGGCCAGGGGACTTGGAGTCTTGTGAACCTTTCTGCTTCCTTGCTTTCTTGGCCTGTGGGGCCACCTTCACAGGAGCTCCTTCCAGCTGTCCAACCTCCATTGATGAAACCAGCTCAGCCTTCTTCTGTGCCTTCTTCCTCTTCTTTTGCTGCTTGCCTCCCTCCTCCCTCCCCACTGCCGCAGCAGCACCTCCCACGGCCGCCTTCAAAACTGCTTCACTCCTGCCCACAGCAAGTGCAACCTCCGTATCGCTAGAACTACCAGTTCTTCTTGGCATTGTGCATGCTTCAGCGACTGGGGTGCTCGTGGTTTCAGAGAAGGCCACTTTCACAGCAGCAGCATCCTTCTGCCCACCCTGCATTGATGGCACCACCTCAGCCTTCGTCTGTGTCTTCTTCCTCTTCTTCTGCTGCTTGCCTCCCTCCTGCCTCCCTTCATCTGGAAGTGCAACCCCTGTTCCACTGGATTCACCAGCGTTTCGTGGCATCACGCATGTTTCCGCACCTGGTGCGCTAGCGGCTTCGCGGAACGCCAGGCTGCTGTGGACCGTTGGATCTCCAGATGGATCTCCAATGAGATTTCCACACGGATTCACAGTGAGATTCCCAGAAGGATCTCCCAGTTGATTCATGGCTGGCCCAGCAGGCATCACCGCACCACACGTGGCACTCAACAGCCTTCTGGCAGCACTCTCTGGTGCCTCCTCTAGCAGCAGCGCCTGAAACAGCTCCTCCTGTGCCATGAAGTCCAAGCTCGCCTGTGGCAGCCCCTCTCCCACCTCCGCATCTCCGTTCTGTCCGCTTGATGGTCCCACCCCAGCAGCACCTGCAAGATCTCCTCCTGATCCCTCTCTGCCATAAGCTGCTGCTTGCGCAGCCGTCGAGAATACCCCTGTCGGCTTATCCCCTCTCGGGGAGTCTCCTCTCAGCGCGTTGGCGGCCGAAGGCAAGGAGTCCAAGGAGGCGAAGGGATAGGGCAGCGACAGCGAGTCAACGAGGCTGAAAGGGTCCATGAGCAACAGGGATGTGAAGTCGTCGCACCCACCCATGAGCAAGCTTTCTGCATTCGTGCATTCAGCGGCACCAGCAGTGCGATCGGCAGCAGCGGCAACGACGGCTGCAGCATCAGCTGCAGAAGGAGTGGCAGTATAAACAGCAGAAGGAGCTGCAGCATCGGCAGCAGCACCTCTGGCGATGGGAGAGTCCGTGACAGGAAACTCTGAAGCCTGTACAAGGTAGTGCGGGGGGTGGGGAGCGTCTAGGGAGCCAGGCAAGTGAGATGAGTCCAGCGTTGTGGAACGATGGGGCCCGTTCGTCCCAGCAGCAGCAGCAGCAGCAGCAGCAGCAGCAGCAAGCAGCTGCTGAGCCTCCCAAGGGGTAAGAAGGCTTGTGACGGCCTGCGCCTCCAGAGTGCCACCAGTGGTAGCAAGCACATCAGCAGAGGGCAGACAGTTCACTCCAGCAGGTTCCCGGTCCGGTTCAGCCGCCTTAAGCCTGCTGTGCTGGCAGGTATCACTTGCCACACTTGTATTGTGCAAGCCCTCGGGAGCGGCGCCGGGGGTGATGGACGAAACAGGCATCTGGTGAGGGACCATCAAGCAGTGAAAGTCGGCGTTCACACCAGCATCATTCTCAAGCATTTCAGTAGCTCCTTCCGGTTCAAAAGGCACAATGGCATTACAGCCGCTCCCTCCAGGCGGGGCCATATCCATCGTATCAGCATCTGCGTGAAACGATGACGACACTGCTACTTCAACGGACTGGTCTTGCCCGATATCACCGAGAGGAGCGTACGGTGGATGGCTACACTCCGCCACCAGTTGTAATATCGGCGCTGTGGTGATCTGGATCTCTCCATCTTGGCCTTCCGCAATGCGCATCCCTCCCTCATTCCCCACACGCATCTCTCCCTGACCCCCCACGCCAACCCACGCCGCAGTCTGCTCGGAGCCGCCACACGCCGCTGGCCGGGATGACCCATCGCCGAATGATCTGACATCCGTTGACGCTTGACTGTCTGGAAAATAACTGACGTTGGCGGATCCCAAGTTGGAGCCAATGGTCGGCTCTGGCGGAGATGCATGTGTCGATACCAAACTGCCAGTGGTCTGTCCGTCAGCTTGAAAGAAGCCGCACACACCGTTGGGGAAGGTGAAATAGTAGAACCGCAGACTTCCGCCGCCGCCGGCTGGATTTGATTCGATTTGATCGGGTGCTACCAGCGCTCCGACAATGGGAACAGCAAAGCTGTTGAATGTAGCCTCCGTGTTCCGTGGCGCCGCCGCCAGCGGTTGACGCGACACGTTGGAGAGGTCGGTTGTTCCAGACAGTGTCTGTCCGTCGGGCCGCGCTGGCCCCATACTACTAACGAGACGTTCAAACAGTTGCTGGAGAGTGGCTGAATCGATGGATGCAAGCGGCACTGCGATTGGGTGTTCCCGGGTTTCATTTGGCTGCGATAAAGATGTCGAGCCGTGATGATGCGGCGGCTGCGGGGTTGCTGAAGTGGTCACGGTTCCTTTCTCCGACTTGCGGGGGTCCGGAATGCTGCTGTGCGCTTCGACGTTGCCACCACGCTGCTGCCTTCCAGAGGAACCCTTGGAGCTTGCATCAGCATTTTCGGAAACGTCAGCCACATCGGAGTTGGTTAGGACCGATATTGAAGGCGATGCTGGCGCCGTTTCTGGCAAAACTGCTGCTTGGTTTTGCCTCTGGCCGCTTTGCTTGGTCGAATCTAAGGACATATTGACGCAATGGTGGCCTTTCCTGGTAGCACCTCCTCGCAAGAGCTCCCACGTGGTAGTAGCTTGGTATATTCTTAGGAGCAGGCGTTAGGAGCGAAACTTCAAGAAGGGGGATTCAAACCGCGTTGAGATGAGAGAGGCAAAGAAATGTTTGAACAAAAATAATGGCCCTCTCGTCCAGAATGCTTTCCCCTTACGCTCCAAAGAATCCCAACACTGTTGGACAAGGGGTGGGCTCTGTTGTTCTCTATGTTGCCTGCTGTCACTGCCATTCTAACGATTGACTGACCCACGTTGACTTACTATTGTCATTCTGCTAGCAAGACTTTACACCTGGTTCTAGATAGTTTTCACTGTGGCAAACCCCCCAATAGCATGAAAATTTGACAGAAGAGATAGTGGAAAAATTCCTTTCTATTTCACACCAGAGCCATTCGGCCTTTATGTATGGCAAGAATGTGATTACATAGACTTGTCTTATCCTGTAAAAAACTGCTACCATTACATATCAGGATTGCATAATCTCATCTAGAACCAGTCACAATCAAATTACTTACGATGCACGGTTTTTTTTTTTCACATTTGTTCCTTCTTTGAGTTAATCACATACACATCTACATGTATCCACAAACAATGCTCATTTAACTCCCCACCTTACTATACATGTATACACAGGATACACATATTCATTCAACATTTAAGGGGCGTCAATGGGCATAACTAAGCAAATATATTTCGCCTTCCTCCATCAAGTACGCCTGATGTGATAGTAAATGAGTATTAAAACTATCATGTGTATATATATATATCACAAAATGTGTACGAGAGTGAATATATATATCATATTTCTAAGATAGCTTATAGATGTTATGGAATTAATGCAGTCTGAGATTTGTGACCAGTATCGTATTATGATTCATGTAATAACGATTTGATGATATATAGGTATTATGCGAAATGATGCGACCTACCACAATGTAATTGATGTGTATCACTAACAAGGTTGAATCGTATTGAGCTCCACATTGTTATACGGCTTCAATACCATCGTACATTTTCACATACTTTTGGTTGCATGTGCCGCATGGTTGTTCTACTCTTCTTCAAATTGTATGGATCATATTACGGTCAAACGGCTATCTGACATCGTCTTTGGGGGCACATTCACGTACAAACGTTGCGTCTTTTCCCTATCCAATAGCCAATTATATCATCGTAGGTCGTTCCATCGGAAATTTATGGTGGCTCAAAACATTTATGCAGGGATTACAGCTTGGTTTTTCTTGGAAAATAGGGATGAGCTCATTGATTCAACAAAGGCTTAGAGAATAAGATAATATGAAAAAAAATAACAATTTAAAACAACGAAAGGCAAGTTCCATGATTTCATCATATGAAAGCATTTTTACGACATGAAACATTTTCCTAGAAGGCTTCACGAATGAGTTCAGATTTGTTCAATTTGCAAGATTTGTAGACAATCGTAATAATTATTAGTCGAGATACGGATGAACCGTAGATGTTGCCTATGAATGCACTGGGAATGTAAAAATCAGCCTTATTTTTGCTATGCGGAGCCTCATCCAACCATGCTTTTGAAGGCTTGCATGTTGGGAAGAGCGGAGTCGTTACTAACAATCTCTTAAGGTGAAACTATGTATGCATGATTGACTTTGGGAGGTTCAAGTGGGTCCACGACAACAAGACAGAACAGCGTCAAGTGCTTCATCTTTACACGTGAGGCATCAAAAGGCTAGATGATACGTAGCTTGGTGAACCAAGTCCATGGAACAAAAAAACATTGAAAAGGGCTAGACTTTTTTTTTGTTAGATTAAGCTCACATTATAACAATGAAAATGCGGTAACAATCATCTTCAACACATGATACCTTCAATATTTTCTCAAAAATGAGATTCTTGCAGATTATGCTCCTGGCCGAGCAGAGGTTGTATCTGGTGAATCAACAAGACTTGGTTCACCAAAGACATTGCAAAGTTTTGTTATTCCACATGAGTGCGCTAGTAAGAGAAGAAGACATTGCAAGGCAAAACGTGTACAATGTGGTCCAGGGAAGGTTCGTTCGGACTTATTTCGTCACGAACCAGCAGATTATGGGTACAGTTCATGTAGCGTTCTCGGGTCTCGGCTGTACGGAATCTGGATTTCGTGTTCCACATTCCAGTAAGGACAATTACATCTTCCCACTAGAGGCTCGGGCGGGCAAAATGGACAGGGCAGCCAGGATGACTGAATTTCGCGACGTGAACAAAGGTTTGACAGCTGTACTGGTTTTTTTCGGGCAAGTTTATGAAGAACAGTAGAATTGACCAACACACTTGGACTCGGTTGAAAGAGCATCATCATGCGCACAACACGACGTGGACCAAGTAGCCCGAGAGGGGCAACGGCAGTCTGGCAGTCTGGCGCTCGGTACACTGGTACTGTAAGCATTGCCTAGGGTCTGAACGCGCTGTACACATTGCCCCAGAAGTTCGTTACTTTTAACTCGTTGAGACCGCAGCCCGAGTGGAAATAAGCGAGAGATGATATCTGTACTTCGCCCAGGAAAACGGAAACCTAAGAGGAATCTTCCATAAGCACTCGATGCGAGCAATGGTCAATCGCTTCAGAAACTATTTATTGCAGCCTCAGAAAAAAAAAAAAAACATTGCTGCTTCGGAAAAGTTTGGAGCAATATGTCACGAGCCAGAAGAGACAGTGGCGAAAATGGGAGTGTAGAAATTCTAGAAACGAGATTGTAACCTTGGTCAATATCTAGCCTCCTGATCCCATAAATTTCTCTTGCCGCGCGCTTATGGCGCTCGAAACTTTTCGAACTCTATCGACCACGTTTTCAAAATGGATGTGGGCGTTATATTTTTCTTGGCCTAACATACCTGAGATTAAGCCAGAGATTTTGATCCACGTGTTAAAAACTGTGACGACGGCCAATGTCATTGCAATCACGTAATGTATAAGCATATGAATAATGTGAAGGTTTTTAACTCGGCTGAACTTAGGCGATTGGTCGATCCAAAATTATGAGGACCAGCGCGTTTGTCCCGAGCGGAAATAGGGATTTGTGGATTTTCATATCAGTTATTTTTTACATATCTTTACAAACTCCCAGTCTAGGTTCTCCAGACGGTTATTGTAGCCCGTAGGTTGTCCACTTTCCAGACGGCATTTTCCTCCGAAATTTCACGCCTCACATTCAGCTCAAATCTAAATAGTAATTTCACTATTAAGACACTTCGCCATTCAGGACATTCGGGTTACGATTGTTTTTTATAAAAGTACGAATTTAGGATAACAATCTGGTTCTACACGGATTTCGGTTCCATCAACATGAGAGTATGGTTTACATGTCAAGTCCCATGTCTATAAGCAGTCATACGCCATTTCGAGCCGTGAGCAAAGAGATTAAAAATTTCACGACCACAAACATCCGATGTACACATTTGACGGATTATGTGGTAGCCTAAAAAAACATACATACCAAAGTTCGTGCTTGTGAATCCTGCGATCATAGGTAGTAATAGGCATCACAAATTTTTTGGATGCCTCCCTTTGAGACACATCCTCCTAGAGATGTCTCGTAAACTCACCACATATATTGTCCATGCTCAACTGGACCGCCACTTTCCGAACTTAGTGTAATTGGGGGTCGGAGTGGTTATCCTTACTTCGAGCCCAGTGAAATGTCATAAACAACTGACTCTTTAGTTCCGCAATGACCATGATTCAACCATGGTATGGTCTGAAAGCGAATTCTTGAGTTCCGCAATGACCATGATTCACCCACCACGGCGCACGGTGTGTCGTAACAGCGGGAACAATTGGCTACCACTCGGATGCATACGTATGACGCATTTTTGTTTTGATCATATTTGAAATGAAACAAGTTTCTGTGTTCGCCTTGACGATTCAAGCATACAAAATTGGGCATATGTCGATAATGTTAGGCCCCATTGGAACCTTCCAGTGGCAAATTCCAGTGGGCCAAATGTGACACTTAACTGATTCATACGATGCACAACATGCAAAAGCACCTCAAGACGAGCGTCTATGCATGGTTCACCCATGTCGTCCTTTAAAGCCCGAGTTCTACGTGGCTATTTTCAAGTTCAAGATGCATAAATATGAATTCATCAAAAACCATGTTACCACCCGAAATGGAGCATTCTCGCAAGAAGGTGATTTGTGATTGGACAGCGACACTCAAAGTCATATTGAGCAGAGGATCAGCTGGCAAGGCAGCACTGTTCACTTGAAAACTATCTTGTACTAATTGTCAAGCAGACTAGACTTATTCCGCCCGAAGTTCACGCCCAAGTAATCACTCTGACTAGGTACACAACTCACATACGAACAAGCTTAGTCCGCCCTGCTATATCCCCACGTCTAGAGCTATGTTGCTGGTCGATTAGGTTCTCCAATTCGCACACGCTTGCCGGCAATTGCTACAAACACGGCAGTCTTCAATGACTCGTCGGAGAAAGATTATGAGTCCCAGTCGCATCCCCGTCTCGTCCTTCCACTCCAACTCCTTTCCAGTCAGAGGTCAAGTCAAAGGGCGTGAACCATAGATTGCTATTCGCGGAAAAGGCGCAACGCAGGTTGTCCTTCCAGCAACCACTTGGCGCATCAGGTTTCGCCGACCGTGTTACCGGCTAGGGTGCTGCTCTCGCATCAGCGCCACACCCTGATCTCTTTTCCACTAGCGCCATTTTTCTCGCAGCCCCAATCTCACCTCAGCCCAATGATCGCTCTGATCGTACGACATAGATCTCGCAGCCGCACGCATGATTTGCCGCGCCGCCTATTTTCCAAGCCATGCCCAAGCCTTGATCTTACCCATCCCCATGATACCCTAATCTTTCGTTGCCCTACGGCCTGACCCTCCGCATTCCAGATGCCCTTATAAGCCATGCCCTGCCAAGCCATAGCCAGCCGTTGCCCCATTCCTAGTGGCCAAGGACGTCGGGATTCTCCTCGC